TCGTCCAAGCAGTCACTGCAGGGTCAGCAATGACTGAGCGCAGACAAAAAAAAAAAAATCTTACATATAGGTAGTCCTTGCTTAGTGACTGCCTTGTTTAGTGACCATTCAAAGTTATGAAGGTGCTAAAAACAACTTAGTGACCAGTCCTCGCATTTACAAACTTTGCAGCACCTCTCTGTTCTTATTTTCATTTGCTTATGTACCCTACACCAAGATGTCCTCAAAGAGAAAGAGAAGAAATCCCAGTTCAGGTGAAGGAAATAGCAAGAAGCAAAGGAAAACTGAAGTAAAATCATAAGCACGGTTGTGATCATGTGATTTTCACTTAGGAAACCCTTCACTTAATGACCGAGTTGCCAGTCCCAATTGCGGTCACTAAATAAGGACTACCTGTATTTCTACCCCACTGCAATCCAAAAAAGATAAATGGCAGCTTACATAGAATAAATACCACAGTTAAAACACCCACAGTACAATTTAAAAACTTAAGTCATAAGTAAAACAATAACAATAAGCAAAATTAAGCAAAGCATTAAACAAAATACCATAAAAGTAGAAAATAAAAAATAAAATGGGAATACCAAATCGGGGAGGGTCTCCAAAACAGCTCAGTTTTCAGACACCCCCCCCCCCAATTTGGTATTCCCATTTTATTTTTCAAAAAATCAGTGAAGAGGGGGCCTGGCTAGTATATTGTGTGAACTAACCAATTTTTAAATCAAACCATGGTTAAGAAAACTGGCTGTTTTGTGATAAACTCAGTATTTGACTATTTAAAGATCCAAATCACAGGAAGTAATAGTTCTGCTCTGTTGATCAGCATTTACCTTAACTGTAGTTAATCCAGTTGTTAACACCACTTTTGAAGGAGGATCCAGATAAACTGGAAGAGGTTTTGTGAAGAGCAATAAAGATTATAACTGAAGGAAAATGAGTTCTATGAGGTTGATTGAGAGAACTGGTTATATTTAGCCTTGGTAAGACTGATATGACAGCATTGTTTGACTGCGTGTTGCACATATGGTTAATTGGGTCAGGTAAAGTCAGTCACTCAACACGTTTTCATTGTTTGGCACATTGTGTGATCCCAGTCTTTTTGGATCAGTGCAGTAACCAGGAACTCAGCTTTAAGATCTGAAGATATGTCACAGAAAAGAGGGCCAATCATCTCAAAATGTAGAACACAAAGTAATAGTTTTACGTTGTAGAAGATGATTTTGGTTTAATGTTAGAAAAAACTTTCAAAGTGTAAGAGGAATTTGATGGAAAAGCCATTCCATAGCAAAGCGATAAGACCCCTTCTATGAAATTGTTCAGATATAGGCTGGACAATCATCTCTCATGGATATTTTAATATTAATTCCTACACAAAACATGAGATTATACTTGACAGCCTAAATGGCCCTTTCCAGCTCTGCAATTCTGATTCCAAGTCATAATTCTGATTTAGAGTCACAATTAGGCAAACATGTTTACTGTGCAAACTCCAAGCTGATTCCTTTCAGATTTCAATTCCACTAATCTCCAGCACGCTTTGGCCAGGTTGGCTGGAAGATTTCAGAACTGAAATCCAACACATCCAGAACAATGTTTCTTAAACTGTGTTCCATGAAATACCAGAGCTCCCCAAAGAACTGGAGGATGTTTGTGAGCTGGTCCCAGGATTCAAGATAAGTTTTTAATTAGATTTGACACCGGTGACATTTCACTAGTCTAGCAAGTAC